AGATTTGAGTGCCATATGTGCTTCTTGCAAACCAGCCTGAGTTCTAAGTGACAGACAACTGCTACCTGAACATCATATTTCAACTCCTTCTGAAATCTCTGGAGGAGAAACAGCATTGTTGTGGGGAGAGATCTCGGAAAGATAGGCTGAATCACCATGGCTGTTGATTCAGCATTGGTGTTGTTGATTATGGAGAAAGCATAAGGGAATTTAACATGAGTGATTCAGAGTAGGTATTGACTTTCTGCTGTATGCTCCAGGAAAAAAATAATCACTTGAATGGCCATTCTCCCATTGCACTCTGCATGAGTCTTTGTACAAGACTGAAGCACTACGCTGCCAAAGGAAATGAGGGATAAGTTCTTAATACAGACATGGCAGAACAAGTTCCTATACCAGTGTTGTCTTGCAGGAATAGATTGAGCTATGAACCATAAAGTGCTCAGTTCAAATCTTACTGCTGCCATGAATACCCAGTACTACCTCTTGACCTCTTTTCTGAGATATATATATATATATATATATATTTGAATTTATAGCCCAACTTTCTCCCAAAATGGGAGGTGGGTAATGTGAAGGATCCCTATATATAGCTATAAAGATTAAAATTTGTTAGGTTCTATTATATACTGGTTGTCTCCCTCCTTTCAGTAATATTTTGATTTACTTATGAGCAGAACTTTAAAAATGTAGTTTTCTGCACTACAATTTGGTAGCTTTTTCTACTATAATTCCCCAAATTTTTCAGCAAACCTAGCCCCCCAAAATTAACTTTTCCATGATCTGTTGACCAATGGTGCTATACTATGTCTTCACACCATGAATTTCTTTTACCATGCCTTACCAGCAGCAACCAATGATGGAGAGCAGAGAGTGGTGCAATTTATGTGGCAACTAGTCATTTTCTTCAGGGAATGAGAAGAAAATAGCATGATTCTTGTAGTTAGTGTAATGGGCAATCTGGCTCTAAGATAACATATGTGAAACTCTGAAACTCTAAATAAGATAAGCTCTTAAGGAGAGAACACTGTAATGACCATATTATAACTCTAGTCCCCTTTACATGTGCTCCTAATGCCTTTCACACATGGAGAGTGGTTTGTTTGTTTTTTCCTGAAAGGAAAAATCTATTCTGTGCATGGAGGCTCTCGTCATCACCTGGAAATTTGATTTTACAAGGGTTTCAATCATGGGGAAAACCTCCAAGGAGAAAAGAGTCCCTTTGCTTCAGAAAATCACTTCCTATCATCTCTTGTTTTCAGAAGGCTGGCAGTTTGAGGCCCAAGGCATAATGGGTTGAGCTCCTGTAGCAGTTTGAAAGCATGCAAATGCAAGTAGATAGATATGTACCACTTCAGTGGGAAGGTAACCACATTCAGTGCAGTCATGCTGGCCACATGACCACTGGATTTGTCTTCAGAAAACGCTGGCTCTTCAGCTCAGTAAATGGAGATGAGCACCACCTGCTACAGTCAGTCATGACTAGACATTCATATCAAGGGACTTTACCTTTACCTTTATATGCATAATGAAATGTAGGGATATTTTAATCCTTTTAAATATTTACCTTACATTTATTTAATGCTTGATTAGAGCATTTGATTAACCTAAATCAGGACAGGTGAAGAATTAAGTCTATTTTGAAAACTAGGTGAAGAATCTGTGGTCCTCCAGATTTTCTTGAATTTTCTGGCTTGGGATGACAAGAGTTCTGCAATATCTGGACAACCATAGGTTCACCTGCCTTTATGCTAAATCACTATATAAGTGCTTAGTACTGACAGGACTGTGATTGCTAGAAGCATGTTGATCCTCTTGTTTGTGCAGTGACAACAATAGTATTAAATGATGTACCTAGTATATTTGACTGATCCCTTTTAACACTCTCTCCTCTGTATGATAAAATTGTTTTCAGTAATAATCACAAACATGAAATAATTGTTTAAAAACATGTTGAGGAATGCTAAGAGAGAGAGAATTCAATCATATCTGAAGAATGGCATGACTTATGCACTTGATTTACACAATTCCAGCATTAGTAAATAAGTGTGACTTATTAGTAAATAAGTGTAATATATGTAAACATATGGTTGACAGGTTGGACTGAGAGTTGCAGAGTTGGTGCCAGCCATGACAGCTGTTGAATACCAGGAATGAACTGTACAGGAAGGAAGGAAGGAGGCTACAAGGGGCCTTTGCCACATTTGAGGGGATGGACAGTCACAGTGGCATCACTGGAATGGTGCAGGGGGTGTGGACTGCACCAGGTGATACCCCAGAAGAGGAGTTAATTTAAAGATCATTTAAATTTTGCCAGTTGTTTATGTCACAACTATTACGATTAGATTCAATGATATACGGGAATTATGATTTATGAGTAAATTAGTACAAAAACATTACTAAAGATTCTGTAAGGGTGTAGCATGGGAGGAGGTCAATGGGGGTGGTGACACCATGAATTACCACACCGGGTGACACCAACCCTAGGATGTCACTGCCTGGCAACAACTACAATTTGCAGAAATTTGTTACCAGGATAAGAAGCCACATACTCTTGGACCATTGCAGTGGGTAGCAGGCATGTGCTGGGCAAAGGAGAAGTGCATCAATTCTCAACAAGAGAAAAAGATCATGGCTATGATAATGACATTGAGAGCAGGGGACATTGAGAACCTCCTCCTCCTCCTCCTCCTCTTCCTCCTCTTGCTGCATCTATAGCCACTGCTGCACAGAGGAATTCCTGGGGCAGCTGGCAATACCTGCATCTGCATCTCGAGTAGAGTCCAGCTTGCTCTCTTCCCATTGCCACTTGTCCTCAATCTACCCTTTATTGTTTGCATCCAAGGTGGACCAATCCCAATGCCCCACCTTTGGTATGCTAGTAATAGTAATCTTTCTCTTTTTCTCCTCCCTCCTCTAACAGAACAACTACATGACTTTTCTAAGATAGCCTTGATCTTATTGATTGTGAACATCTTGCTATCTTTTATTCCTAAGAGGCAACCTGCAAGTTATGTGAAAGGTTTGTCTATTGGATTTCTGACCCTGCCTTCCCTGCTTTTTTGTCCCAACTTTAATATAGATATTAGAGGCTAATAATTTCCAAATTTTTGAAAGAAGTCACATCCAGAGGGATGAGTAAATTGAGATTGGACAAATGGCATGTGGGGAGAGAGTTAAGTCAATTTCCCACCAGGACCATCTTTTCCATGAAACTGGCAATCAATGGAGTTATACATGCATGTGTACACAACACTGGGGGATCACAAAAAGCACAAACACAAACCTTTGACCTGACTAGAGCAATGTATGAAATATTAGCCACTGACTTTGAACCCTGCTACCATCCTACCCGTTCATAGCTGGGACGTGAAACCTAAGTTTTATGCATATAGTAATGTCAGAGGGAAAACCTGAAAGAAGGATTAACTGTTTGCTTTGGAACAAAGAAACCAAGCTAAAATAGCAAGTGAAATTGTCTTCCAGTTTAGCACATTCTTTCTTTCCACCCCTCACACATTTTCGCTCATACATCCCCATCCCACCATGCATCAAGAGATTCAACATCCATTCTGGATGTTTTGATAAGGCCTTTCTTGTTTCTTTTCACCCCCGAGCGAACATGATTTCATTTTCTCTCCCCCTCCCTGCTTTCTGTTCCTTGCTCCCTCCCTGTTCTCAGGTGGACTAACTTCTATCTGTTCAATTCAATCTCCCAGCCTGTTCATTTTCTACAGAATTCTCCTCACATACCTCCCTTCAGCTAAATGATTTTCCCCCTTCTCCTTCTAATCTACTTTGTATTTTAAGTTGTCTCACTATTTGTTAGGCTTCAGGCTCTAAGCTTATGTTTTTAATATTTGCCATGTCTTTTGTATGCAGCTTTTACATGGGTGATAGATACTATATTGCTAGCTAAAACCCCAGCATCGTTACCTTCTTCACATTTGGACTCCTGCTTAACATTGTAATTAATTAATAATCATTTGCAGGAAAGTCATAAGCTTTTGCAAGAAGCCTGATATGAACAGTTGTTATAGGGAAACAGCCTCTGGAAATTGGCCACTTTGGGGGTTTCTTCTGACTTTTCAGCATTTTTTAGAAAATAACCTTTTCAAGCACAGAGCTATAAGACAAACAAAAAACAGTATTCCTTGGAAAGCAGCTAATTTGCTCCTGCATTTCAGTGCCATGGCTAATGACTGGGAATACAGTGGCATAACAAACAGTTGTTTAACATAATGAAGAAGCTCTAATCCATACATATTGGCTGTTGCATGTGTAGAAGAGGTTTTTTTCTGGATTTCTTTGGTGGATTTCTGCTTCCATCCCATTTCTCTCTGTGTGTGCTTTCAAGGTGTGCTTTCGAGTTGCATGTTGATTTATGGCAACTCCATGAATTTCATAGGTTTTTCTTAGTTAGGCAAGGAATACTTTGCCAGTTCCTTCTTCTTCATTTATGTTCTTCTGCCCCATGCCACATTTAAAACTACACAGAGGGTGAGTTTTCAGGAATGAATTTTGAGAGGCACCATGCACTGCAATAGAAAGGAAAAAGGAGTAAAAGTCCATGAACAAAACTCCAGCCATGTCATTGGCATACAGTTAATCACACTCTGCCTGCATTTATATTCTGGTCTTTCTGTATTGATTTATCTGAAGTGCAACTTTAGTTATCCTAATCATAAAATTTCTGGCTAGTGGTTTGACTCTTCTGTGGTCAGTGTAGCCATTTCTGACCTGCGAAGTAAAATTACATGAATTGCTTTACTTACAGCCAATTGAATCTGTAAGGAGATGGTGAATCCTGTAGTGATACTGGAGATGTAAAGAGATGAAGAAAAATCTATACAACAGCTACATGTCTTTGAAACCTATATTCTTCTCCTTGACAATCAACTTCTCTTTTTTTATTTCATTAGTGGATATCTTATTTAAATTAGTGGAATATAAATTAGTGAAATGATTTAAATTAGTAGACATCTAGGTTGAATGTAAGAGCCAACATGGCATAGTGGTTTGAGTGTTGGACTATGACTCTGGAGACCAAGATTCAAACCCTGGCTTGGCCATGAAAACTCCCTGGATGACTTTGGACAAGTTGCATTCTCTCATCCTCACAGGATGGCAATGGCAAACTCTCTGAAGAAATTTGCCAAGAAAACCCCATGATACCTTAGGGTTGTCCTAAGTAGGAAATAACTTGAAGGGACACAACAACAACTAAGGGCCTTTACAGACTGCCAGAAATGATGACCCCCATGATAGGGTCACCTTAGGGTTGTCCTAAGTAGGAAACAACTTGACTGAACACAACATCAACTAAGGGTCTTTACAGACTGCCAGAAATGATGCAGCTTGAGGCCACTTTAACTGTCCTGGCTCAGTGCTAAGGAATCATGGGAAATGTAGTTTATTGTGGTACCAGAGTTCTCTAACGAGAAGGCTCAATGTCCCAGAAAAAAATACAATTCCCATGATTCCCTAGCACTGAGCCAGGACAGTTAAAGTGGCCTCAAACTGGATTATTTCTAGCAGTCTGTAAAGATCCTGTGTTGGATAAGGGATAAAGCCAGTCAGTTTAGAGAGATCAGGTTAATTAAAGCAAGAACTTAAGTAGGAATGGATGAAAATTCTGTTTTGCTCATTATTATTATTATTATTAAGAACTTTCTGAAATTCATCAATTTCTGCATTCAGTGTGTGTGGGGGGGGGGGTGAATTGTGGGGTGGAGGAACAGGCAGATTTACCCATTCAGGCAGATGTGTATTTATCTATGTTGTTGAATTAGTCCTGCTGTCGCAAGGCTACAAAAGCTGTAAGCAGGCAAGGGGGAAAAATGATCCTCTCTGTGGTACAGAGCTAGCTGGAACTAACTGGTTAATTAACTTAATAAAATTATTAATTTGCTTGATATTTTAATGGGATTTCATCTAATTTTGTAGAGTCTCCAATTCATGCTGAAGTTAAACATATGCTTTAGTGAAGCTGTGTCATTTGAATTCATTAGGACAAGTGCCTGTGACCCATAAAAATGGCTTTGGGTGCACTTTCTGTACCCCTGTTTTAAAAGGATAATAGCTCATTTGAAGGAACTAATAACACACTGTACTACTAGGGTCGAGTGACAACCTCCATGCCATCCCCTGTATGTCCCTTTGTGTCCTCATCTTAACATCTCAATTGACAAGTTCACTAACAGCAATGTAAGTAATTCAACAATTACAATGGTAAGAGTTGATTGTAATGAATTAATTTCCAATTTCTAAGATTTGACTTAATCAGATTGATTTGATGGTATTCCAAGCTCTGAGTGTGAATATCCATACTCTTTCAATTCAGCCAGGATAATAATTTTGTTTGCTTTGAATGTTCTGAAACTTCCAAATTCAATCAAACATTTAGTGCCAACAACTTAAGAACTTAAAAGCATGAAACTGGAAGAAAATGAAACTGACACATATATCCACCTCTTCATCAGGGCAGAATCTACTAGTCCTTGGAAAGGTTAGTGGAGATCTGATGAGTCACAAATATGAATGTGCCTAGCTGTGATTAGAGCTGACCAAGATATTTTGATGCCTGATAACTCATGTAGAGGAGTTGATTGAATTGACAGTTAAACCTTCCCTCAACTAATGACAATGGGATGTGGTCTTCCACCACATCAAAAGGCAGAAACCTAGTATAGCAATCACAGCTTGGTTTTTCATCCAATGCAGGTTCTATTTTCATTTTGATTTTTGCTGGATCACCTACATTGCTTTACATTGTTCAAATTGTTTTCATTTGTAGTACTGATTGTGCCTGACCCTGAGATCTTAACATATAGGGAGGATATAAATATTTTAAATATTTTCATATAAGCAAAAATAAATAAATAAATAAATAAAGTGCAAGGTTGGGCTGGTCTTGGCAGTGACAAAATCTGTCTTTATTTGGTTATATACTTTTTAGATCCATCATCAATGAATTGCCAAAGCACAGTTTTACTAGTCAGACCAGCAAAATAAGAGATTTGTTGTTATTTGCCATCAAGTTGACTTCCATGGATAAGGGACTTCCATGATCCCCAGTCATCAATTGCCCTCCTCATGTCATAGAAACTCAGGGGTGTGGCTTCCTTGACTGAATCAATCCTTCTGTGATGTGCTTTTCCTATTTTCCTACTGCCTCCCACTTTACCCAACATTGGCATCTTTTCCAATGAGTTATGTAATCTAATGATATGTCAAAAGTAGGAGAGCCTCAGTTTACTCATTTGTACCTCTAGTAAGAGTATGGGCTTTATTCGATGTAAAAACCCATTCATTTGCCTTTGTAACATTCTATGGTATCTGTAGAACTCTTATCTAGCACCACATTTCAAATGAGTTGATTTTCTTCTTGTCAGCTCCTTTCACTGTCCAGCTTTCTCCACCATACATAGAAATCAGAAATACTGTGACCTGGATGATTCTGACTTTGGTATTTAATGATATGTCTTTACAGTTGAGGATCTTTTCTACTTCTTTCATGGTTGCATTTCCAAGTCTTAGTCTTCTATGGATTTTTCTGTAATTTTACAAGTTTTCATTGGTTACAAGATAATTAGTTGGTTATAAGTGTAAAAAGATGGTTACAAGTGTAAAAGGTTACTTACAAGGTAAGTCACAATATGCTCAGATTTTTAGGGCAGGAGCAGGCAGTAATGTGTGTTGGGGCATGGAAATGGTTTAAAAGCAAGAAACTGCTTTTGTCTGCCAGTCATAGAGAAGTTATAAAGAAATGCAGAGCTACATCTGGTTGTTCAACCATTCTATACTACAACTGGTCACATACTTAGGTCTTCAAGGACATTTTTGAATAGCATTGCAGAAAAGTACCTTTCTCTAGGGCACTGTCATCAATAAAACCTTTCCCGTTCTCTTTCCCACAAGCTGGATTTACAAGGGGCCAAATTCATTCATGTGTTCTCATAGAATGAGAGTGCAAATGTGTTTAGTCTCAAATATTTTTGGATCAGCTTATTGATCCAGTATTAATCTATCCCATTTTCCCCTGTCCTAGTTTCTTTTGCTCATACCCTCCTGAATTGGTATTCTTGTCACAGGTTTTATCCCATCAGATCTCTGCAAAGCCAACTAAATCATCATTGTTTTCATGCATGAGAACATCTAGTTCTTCCTACTCAGTTATTTTTCCAACTTATTTTACTGAGATATCTAGGCAATATTTTTAACCTAGCTTCTCTTGTACTTTAATGTCATTTCTCTTTTAGATATAGTATCCTTTTGCATTTTCCTATTATAAAAATAATTTGGTTCATTCAATTGCTTTCTTATGAATCCTGCACAAAGACTTCTTGCAGTTTTTTACCTGCCTGGAAAATTCTACAAGCTGACTACTTAATGCCTACAACAAATTGTGTGTCAGGATAGCATATACCAAAGACCTCAAATACACACACACACACACACACATTTCAGTTGGGTTGCATTTCCTTTTAGTCATTAATTAGTAGTTTCACCTTTATAAGTCTAGTGTTTCTAGTCTTTATGATTATTGGAATAATAGTGAAAATTACAAAAATAAGACTAGGAATTCAATTTTTCAATGTTGGGCCTGGGGTAACAATTAAATAGCTTTTTTTCCTACCTTTCTCTTTGCACTGTGCCAAAAGCAGCACAAGACCCCTAGCCTGTCATAAAATTGGTCCTTCAAGTCCCATTCCCAGAAAGATAACATTATCAATGTTATTAAAAGCTGCTGACAAGTCCAACAGAATCAAGAAAATGGTAAGGCTGCTGTATGGAAAAGATGGCTAACAAGAAACAGAGGGAAGAGAGAACTACTCAACACTTTCTTTGGCTCAGTCTTCTCTGAAAAGGAGAACAATGTTCAACCTGGTAAAATGGAACAGATGATGCAGTAGGGGAAATGCAGCACAGAATGAGTAAAGAGTTAGTATAGGAATACCTGACTTCTCTAAATGAATTCAAGTGTACAGGGCCAGATGAACAACATCCAAGGATATTGAAAGAACTGGCAGAAGTAATCTCAGAACAAATGTCAATAATCTTTCAGAATTCTTTGAGAATAGGAAAGGTCCCAGGAGTGCAAATGTTGTCCTGATGTTAAAAAAAAAGGGGGGGGAGGAGGACCCAAACAATTGCTGTCCAGTCAACCTGACATCAATACCAGGAAAGATTCCAAAGGAAATCATTAAACAGACAGTCTATTAGCACTTAGAAAGTAATGCTGCGATTACTAATAGTCAGCATGGTTTTCTCAAAAACAAGTCATTCCAAACTTAATGCTGAACATAACAAAAACAAAAATAATGACCACCGAGGACCTTCACAAGTTCAACCTTGAAAATGAAGAAATAGAAATAGTAAAAGAATTCCTATACTGATGATAAAACATTGCTAGAAATTGGGACTGCAATTAGGAAATCAGAAGAAGACTAAGGGCTGTTGCAGACCAGTCCCAAGGGCTGGCCTGGGGATGGAGTTGG